TCAGTACAAAACTCCCGTGTAATGATAACGACAGTGCTACGTACGCTTCTGGACGTTCTGCCAACCCGTCAATGAACTCTTGCAGCGTGATACTAGGGAGGACCTGGAGGGGCCGCGCAATGTTTCCAGCACCGCACACAGGACAATCATCCTTCTTCTGGTGCTCAAACGTATATGTATATACAGAGTCGTCTCCTGTATACATCATGTAATTGTCCATGCCGGGGTATCCCAGGAAAGGGTTGCTGTTGGTTGCTACCTTGAATGCCTCGTTGCAGCAGCTCGCTGCTACAATAGCGTTTGTACTAGCAATTGCTGGGATGATGTTCTTGACGACCCCTTGGGTCATGCTGTATGTTACTCCATCAATGTTGAATTCCTTGGCGCGGGCAGTGGCTTTGTTGAAGAGCCAGGTGATGTGCTCTGGATCATCGGTATCGAGGGTAATATCTTTACGCTCCTCTTCCCATGCGATAATATGTGCCCATTCGATGCAATGTTGCGGCTGCCGGGGAATGGTGGCGAGTGTACAGAGAGGTACTGCGGCGCGGGGCGCGTGCATGTCTAGTTGGCATTCAATGCACGAGGTCATGGTGGGGAAAATGACACGTGCTTGGCCTTTGAAGCCCTCTGTACCGCCATCGATCAATGGCTTCATAGAATCCGGGTCGTTCTCGTCTACCATGCCCACGAGCGTGGCGTTGATCCAACGCCTTGCCTCAATGGAGTCTAGGCCGCAAACGATGAGGCCGAATTGCATGTAGTACGCTTCATCCTTGTCTTGGATCTTGCCGCAGTACGGAGTGATTTTGACACCCTTGACACGCTTTTCTACAAATGCGGCGGCGGTTTCCGCTTTATACTTTCCTACATCTGAAGCCCGGAAGAGGAACTGCCGATTTAGGTTGCTGACGTCAATTGTGTCCATGTCGATTACATGGATATCCTTGAAGCCTGAGAGGGCAAGGTTCTTGAGAATCTCGCACCCTAGACCGCCAGCTCCGCTGCATCTTGTCAGGAAACATGCTGGATGGAAGGGACGGTTTCCGTTTGGCTTGATGATAGACTCACATGACTCTGCATGGGATTAGCTAACATTTCGTGTAGTTACAAACACAACATGCTTACAGAACTTTGAGATTGCTCAGGTACTCAATGACTTGTTCACCGGCCATGAAGCTATCCTCATCCGTAAAAGGTCCCTTGCGAGTCAAGAACCTATCGAGGTACTTCCTATCGCGTGATGTCAGTGCTGAGCTTGGTGTATTCGGCTTTCTGTAGCTTACCATCGGGCCCGTGGGTTAGCTGTTGATGCAGCCCCCATATCGTTGACGTTAACAGCCATGGTTAGTAAATGTGTAGAAGGTTGATGTAAGATTAGTCTAGCAGAGCAAACAGTAGGTGTAGGCATCAGAGTGTAGATGGTCCGCCAAGACGCTAACATGCGGGTCTGCGCATGGGAAGGAATTGCCGATTGGGCACAGTACACTACGCATCTCCCGCTACGCAACATTGCAGAGGATTAGTAAAGTCACGACTCTTGACACACTCATTTGACCTTTTGCTTGGATGACTCGGATACTATGGCTGATTTCTTGACGGCGGTCTCTACCAGCAAAATCAACCGTAACGAGCCTCTTATCCAAGAGGTTAGGAGCCTACATGCACAAGAAGATGCAGTGACCATTGACTCTGCAGAATCAGCACTGAAAGCGTTGAAAAATCAGCCGAGTCGGACAACGGTAAGCAATGTTCTGGATTACCTCACTACAGAGGGATTTAGCCTCTTACTCCCGGACCCACTCAATGCAAGCATCGCACATCAGCTTGTGAACGATACCATTCCCAACTATTGGAGATCAATCAAAGGACAAAAAGAAGCAAAGAAGATTGGGAAAATCCTTCGAAATCCAACGAGTCTGGGACATGTTATCACAAGACTACGGTCACTCATCGCGGATAGTCGTCAGAAAAAGAAACCTGGAGAAGAGCGGAATACAGCCGAACACACCTCAGATGCGCTAGAAGTTTTGGATCTGATACTATGTGACAATGAGACGTCATTTCTCATATTGCAAGACGTTTTGCTATTCGGCAAGAACGCCATACAAAAGAAGCTGATATGGAAAGAGTATCTTGCCCAAGTAGTATCGGGACGTCTACTGTCGATTGCAGCTGAGGCTGAGGATGTTCTGAAGAAAGACAAAGATACTTCGAGAGTCTCCGGCTGGCTTCCAGAAGGCAAGGAGTATGCAGAATGGCTAGGTCGCAACATAGCTGTCCTGCTAGAGCGCGGTTCTGAGAGCGATGACCATCTCACCGCTGCCACAGAATTCTGCTCCAAGGCCTTGGGATTGGGCTACACGGGTAAGTTGTTTCATCAAATTTTTGAACGGTGCTGACTAGTCAGATCAAATCGTGAGCTCCCTACTTCGGAAGATAATTAACGATGGTGCCATTGAGCACCTCGTGCGTTTATTGTCGCACATGAAAACATTTGAACAACGAAAATACATGAATGCAATCATCACGTTTGTGGCTAAGCATTATTTTTCAAACGAGGTCGTCAATAAAGACTCGCTGGTTGCATCATCTCCTGTTATAGACGCTGCTGGTGGTTTGTTCCATGACCTAATCAAAGATAACGATGTGCTCAAAGAACATCTTATCTCAACACTTACAAGATCAACAATACCCGTACTAGATGATTCGCTATCAGTTCGGCGAAGTGTCGTAGCTGCTTTGGCGAAAGACCATGGTAAACAATGCCGGAATTTAGGCACATCAACATTACTGACAGCCATAGACAAGTTACACACACTTTTGGAAAGCCTCATCAAACTCTTTGGAGATTCAGTCTATATCAGACATACACCAGTATTGCAACAAGAAGGCAAGTAGCGATTTGACTTTACGAAGAATCTCTCTAACAAAACACAGCTCTTGCTCAAACTTTGGCGCTATGCAGTGGCTATGTGAAGCGTTCAGAACCTATGTTTCTCACCATGATGGCAAAATCGTCCCATCATGTCAACGGAATGTCGAACCGAATCGGCGCAGCGTCTGCGCGAGCCCGTCTCTTAGGGATCTCTGTCGGTATTGCCATCTCCAAGATGGTAGATAAGCCTGAATTGCAACTGAAAATTGAACTGGAGGGTGCAGAAGCTGAAGAAGCAAGCTGGTACGAGCGGCTCACCAACATTGACGACAAAGTTGGGAATGCTACAGATCTCAAAACGCAGCAGAGCAGCACAGTCTCAGTGAAGAAGACGCAGCCGAAACCGAAATCACTTCCCAAGAGCTCAAAATCTCCAGCGATAACCGAAATACAGGGACCGCGAGTCATTGAAGTCATGTTAGATTCAGAAGACGAAGATGCAGATCTGATGATGTACGATAAACCAGATTCTGACCCGGAGGACGACACAGATGACCCTACAGCCATCAACCGCAATAAACCCACAGCACCTGTCTACATCCGGGATCTCATCGCTGGCCTTCGCGACCAAGAAAATTATGATCGGCACGAGCTTGCTTTAGCCACGGCTGCTTCCCTGATTCGTCGTAAAGCAAATTTTGGAACTGAAGTGACCGATCACCTAGAGGAACTTGCAACAATACTTACAAGTCTGCAAGACAACTCGGAGCTAGAAGAGTTTGCGCAACAAAGACAGCAAGCCCTAATTGCTGTCCTGCTTGCAAAGCCGGCGCAGATGGCGCAGTGGTTCGCGCGATCTTTCTTCTCTGGCGACTACAGTCTGCAACAACGCATAGCTATGCTCACGACCCTCGGTATTGGAGCACGCGAGCTGGCAGGAATGAAAGACACTTCGACCGATGACATAGTACCCGCAAAACCAGACTTTCCTAGCAAGCAGCTTCCGCCACATCTGCATGGTATCTACGCAGAGGACAAAAATGAGCCATCAGTGGCGAAGATATCAAGTCATATGGCACGTGAAATGCTTTCCCCAATTGCATCACAAGCAGCCGACCAACTTAGCGGGCCGAACATCCTCAAAGTGCGGACCTTTTCTTCGCGCATGGAAGTAGAGAAGAAGCGACATAAGCCGATTCCAAATGCTCTGGCCCAAATTGTTGCGGATAACTTCTTCTTCCCTCTTACTGGACGCTGGTGGCTTCAGGTTCGTGCCAATAACGACTCTATCTACACTTCCACCCACCTCCTCCCACCATTCCTCCAAACCCTTTCTATACTTCTCAATGCATCAGGCCCGAATACCCTTGCACTACCTCAGATGACACGCGAGTACTGGGATCTCTTGCTCTCGGTGCGAGGTTTGGCCAATAAAGACAAGAACATACTCAATGCCGTTTTGTTCGGTTTCCTGATGTTGTTGGAAACAAATGAGAATAAAGAGCGACTTGCTACTGAGCAAGGCAAAGAGCTTATGGAGACACAGGCTTGGGTCAAGATGGTTTTCGATAGCTTGGGCGCTGGGAGTGAGGAGGATGAGAAGGTGAGAGTACTTGCGGCGGGTGTGGTGGTTAGGTGTCAAGAGGTCGTTGAGAAGTACCAGAGGAGGATGGCGGGTATTTTGATGGACTACTAGTCATGTTTTATTTCATTAATTTGCTAAAGAAGGGTACTTGGATGAGGGGCATTACGCATATGCACGGGTCACGTGTCATGATAGTTCGGATGAACGTCCGTACGACAAGGCTAAGTTTTTCAGAGAATACTAATCAGAAGTTGAATTCAGCATATGCAAATATGAGAACTATCGAATAAACTCGCCACATTCTATGCCACTTTTGGAAAGAGAGGGTAAAAACAAAGCCGCGCGGCTCGCCAAACTCAAGACTTTAAGCGCCGCGATACTACTCAGAGTGTGCAGCGCACAGGTTCGCCGATCCTGCCACATAGGATTTTGTGGAGGATATCAAATGCAATCAATAACTGTACGACAACGGAGGGATATGTAACTACTCGCCATTTGTCCTGCTATGAGGTCGCAATCGAATTAAAACACTCAAATATGCTTTGTGAAGTATGCACTGGTGCACTTAGCCAGCACAAAAGAGAAGACAGGACTTCCCGCTTCGGATATCTATTTAGTCATCATAGGTCTACAAAGACACTTCAACAATGGGACACGCATTGTCTAATATGTACCAAATTGGCCAAGACACTGGGTCCAATTACAGATTTCTCTCAAGATGAGCTTCTATACATCCTAATGGTACTATACAAGGAAGTATCCTATAGCGAGAAGACCGGTAGAGGAATTTTCAGGCTGGATGTTCACTTCGGATATGACCGCGAATGTAATTTCTTTTTGGCAGAAACAGGTATATGAGTACCCGGAAACACACACAAAACTATCTGACAATGGTAGATCACAGAGATCACACTATGCTCAATAGTCAAAATCTGAGTGGTCTCACCAAAACAGCGCAGACTTGGATGAATAGTTGTAAATGTGCAAGTTTTTGGGAAGAGCCCGGTGCAAAATGGTACCCTCGCCGTCTACTGGATTTGCAGGAGCTTCGCGCCAGCCCTGATCCACACCAGACAAGAATACGCCTGATTGAGTCTAGGGACTTTATTATTGGGGAAGAGACATGTATTATGTCTGGTTATCTTCCATCTAAGCATCAAAATGATCATTACGTCACACTGAGCCATTGTTGGGGCAACCCAAAACTTGGTTCGCTACCACCGCTGAGCATGACTTTTAAAAACGAAAAGCGCTTCAAAACCGAGGGTATCATAGAGAAGGAACTGCCCAAGATATTCTGAGATGCCGTCGTATTCGCCGCTGGACTAGACAAGGTCGGCTTCATATGGATCGACTCGCTTTGTATCCGACAACCTATCAAAGGGGATGGTGAAAATGAGGAGGACCAGCTACAAGACTGGTTCGAACAAACTCGTCATATGGGAAATTTGTACCGGAAGGCTTTTCTGAACATATCTGCTACTGCTGCATACGATGTAAAAGGAGGGTTGTTTTTCGAACCCTGCCCAGAACTTCTCCGGGAAAACAATATTGATGTGAATTATCCGGAAGACCCCGATACTACACTGGAAAACGGTGTTGAAAAGACGAATCCCTACGCAAGATGCTCTTTGATCGATCCATCAGCTTGGGACGACCTCGTCGAGAATGCTCCAGTTAATCAACGAGCCTGGGCTTCCAGGAGCGATTGTTAGCACCACGTGTACTCCACTTTGGATACAACCAGCTCGCCTGGGAATGTCACAAGTTCAACAGCAGCGAAAGTTACTCCTGGAGTGAGTTAGCAATGAAACCATCCAGTACCCCCGGTTTTACCGACAGAAGTTGCCTGAAGCACCTCACAGTCTCTGCGGGGCGCTCATTCCGCGAAGCAAGAATAGGCGACTTTCGAGATCGCGACACGCAAATCAAAGACATATACATTTACGGATTGTGGAAGAAAATAGTTGAAAGCTATTCAAGAACAAAACTCACAGAGCACAATGACAAACTCACTGCATTGGGCGGCATAGCAAACTTTTTCATGACGAACTATTCAGCCCAGACCACAGCCAGACATATGTCGCCGGACTATGGAGTGGCCACATCGAAATTCAACTACTATGGACCGTAAACGCAGTCTACCGCGGCAACAGCACATATGAAAACTTAGGGCAACCCGGAAAGCGGACCCTCATGGTCTTGGGCCTCCATCACCACTCCACATGGGATAGCCTACAACGACATCACAGACTACGCCTCGCCGGACGACCGATGCACCAAGTCTCTCTTCTTCAAAGTCATATCCCACACCCTCTCTCCCGCCGACCCAAACAACCCCTTCGGCATCCTAACATCCGCTCATATACTCCTCGCTCCCGACCACCTTCACGCCATCAATCTCATACAGCACCCCAACGGCAGCCCCATACCCTGTATGTGGCACCTAAAATCCAACTCAGAATCCAGATCTCAGCACGACATCCACAGCATCCATCTCGATGCCTCAACTTCCGACACCGACATCTTTGATCAGGACGCCCAGCTATATTGCATGTCAGCTGCATATATAACGAGCACAATACAAAGTGCAGTTCAGGAATTGTACATCTTGATGCTCAAGTATGAAGACACTGTAGCATTTGAGTCGAGTGAGCCGGGAAAGGAAAAAGTAGAGTATAGGGCGTTTCGTCGTGTGGGTATTACGAATGTAGCGAAATTTTACGATCAAGAACAGGAAATGTTAAGGGAGGGGGAAACGCAAAAGGTTATTTGTTTTTGTTGAACAATTTCTAGTATATAGTAGAGTTCATATCTTGTTTTTTTCTTCGTTTTTACAGAAAGATTATCACGAGATGATATCTGAATTTGATTTCGGCATTTCGATATCCCCATGCGCTATCGGCCGCCACGCTGGTGACTCTCTTACCCCACTTCAACTTGGTACTGTATTACCACTATGTGAATACTTTTCAGCATTTGATACCATCGGCTCTCGATACTACTTCCCTTTTTACGATTTGCCCAGTAAAAATACCAATAGATAACAACTAATTTTACATCATCTCAACGATTACCTAATACCGGGCGCTTGGTCTAGGGGTATGATTTTCGCTTCGCATATTCCATGCGTACTTGTGAAAGGTCGTGGGTTCAATTCCCACAGCGTCCACATTTTGCACCTTCTTTTTACTATTCCAACCGTTCCCACCCGAAAGCACTCTCCAAACCCATGTTTTTGATAGCATAGTGGATTCAGCTAGAAATGAGCTTCACGACGGATGAGAAATCACACAGCATAGATTACACATGTCCCATCTGTCGAAGACCACATGGGTATAAAAATAATAATAATTCTGCCTGATCCCCACTTCCCTTCATAACTCTTCCCCTTCTCGCGAGATTGTAACATGCGCCCCCCTTGCCTACCACCATGACAACCATCATCACCATTTGAGATAAAACGAGGTCGTTTCCTTATCATGGGACTCATAATATCCATGTGACTTCTGGGGCAAAAGCAATCGAAGCAGGTATTGGTAGACGGATAGAGAGTGATTGTGGGTACAGCAAGTTGTTTTTTATGTAGGCGTGGTGAAAGGTTCAAGTAGTAATTGGAGGTAGCAGAATGAGGTAAGGGAGTGGGGTGGAGGTGCTTGTTTTGTTGGATGACTTTCGACGGGTATCATTGCGTCGACTTATAAGATGTTAGTTTTCATTGTGTTACTATGTTGCATCTAACCCCTTATAATAGCGTGCAGTTATTTCAACCTTTAACCCCAAGAGTGGGACAATGAGAGCACGAGTATTGCTGTTTTGCAACGGTGGAAGAAGCAAGGTGGGAAAACGAGGGGGATGCAATCAAGGTGAACACGGTGGGTTGGAGGAAGTATATAGCAGATCACGAAAAGGATACATTGCTGTTACTATTGAAGAAGAAAGAGAAAGTATCTACAGAGAAGATATCATCGGGGTATACATATGTACTCCATAACCCCAGTCATAAAACAAAAGTCAACAACCAGTGTTGAGCTTATCCCCCAAATCACATCTTACGCGGCCAATTCCCGTGTTTCCCTCACAGATGCATGGCTCTAGAACTTTGCGTGATGCCTGGTGATTCTCTGTCTGTGCTCCCTGAGGAACCTGGCCATGCGCGCGTTTCGTGCAGCAGGAGGGGCAGCAGCGGGGGCAGGTGTTTCAGTGGGACTAGCAGTTACAGTAGCGTAAACGGTTTCATAGACGGTGTAGACGGCTTGAACAGTGTCTGTGACAACGGGAACGACTGGGGCAGCTACGGGCGCAATGGCTGGACTAGTCGGGGCTGGTGCGGATACTGGCGCTTCAGGAGCGGCTGCAGGACCTGAGGGTTGAGGGATGCCTTGTGTGGAGCTGGGGACAGTGGCGGCCTCACTGGAGTTTTGAGTTGGTGTGCCAGTGTTTTGAGGAGGTGAGACTGCAGGTGCCGATGTTGTTGCAGTGTCGTTGTCGTTGGAACCACCGGCACCTACAGGCCATTGGAAACCAGGCATGCCACCTGCGCCCGTCGGTGCTGGGCCTGGAGCTGGCGCTGCAATCTGGGTTGGTGGCGCAACAGGCTTTTCGCCGTCTGCGATTTCGGAAGCGGTAGGGCTCTCGACTGGAGGGCTTGGAGCACTGGGAGCACTGGGAGCACTGGGAGCGCTAGGGGCCCCATAGGCGGGAGGGGTTGCGATTGGGGCAGAGGCTGGGGTGGAGACAGTCTCGCTGGTGGGAATTGGCACGGCAATACTGGATACAGATGGCTTGATGGCCGAAGTCGGTATGACAGGAGAGCCAGTTGGCCCAGCAAGTGCAGAAGACACGGCCGCTGTCTCGGTTGGGACAGGTTCTGGCAGATAAGCAGCGCTACTCTGCTGAGGGGCTGATGAAGGCACTGGAGCAGGAGCCTCGCCATTGTCTTGGTAGACCTTCAAGGCATTGACTGTCCAGTACGCTTCTGCGAAAGCCTCGGGGTTGTTCTGTACCCACTCCTCGCATGTAGCAGCCTTCTTTGAGCAGGAGCTGGCTCCCCAGACACTGCTGCTGCCAGCCCATACACCACAAAAGGTGGTGTCAAAGACGATTTGTTGCTGCTTGAACGTGCTCTCAATGTCACAACCACCTTCAAACTTGGCGGACGGCTTTCCCCATCCGCTGGGGTCTGGGTTGTCACCAAGAACATCCTCCGGAACAGAGCCGCGAGGGAAGAAGAAGACACTGATGGCATCAGACGTCCACTGAGTTGCGTAGACTCCTCCACCGTTCGCATTCAAGCCTGCACCGTAGCTCTTGGTCGATCGGTCTGCGATGGAGCATCCTGCGTTGTCCATTTGACCTTTTGCCTTGACATCGCAGTTCTTTGTGGTTACATTGCCGGCAAACTGGGTGGTGTCGGAACCAATCGTGCAGCCAGGACCTGTGTGAAGAGTCATGGAGTTGCTCACTTGGTCGTTGACACCTTCAATGATGTCAATCTCGCCGTTCTTGGGCCAATTGGGTCCGGTTGTCCAGAATCTGTCAATGTTGAGCATCTTGTCCTCAAAAGAATAATACTTGGGTATACTCACGCTGGCCATGTGCCACAGCCAAAGGGCATGTGAGCGACATCAACAACAATCAAGCCACTGTCGTACTTCTTCTTGCTTTCTATGCGAATACTAGGCCTTCCCTCTGGGCACTCGTTCTCGTGATCTACGCCCCAGGATACTCCAGTAGTGACAGACGCGTTGATGAGATTAGTCTGCCTTGCCGTGTCCTCATCAACATACTTGACGAAGCCCTCTGTTGGGTCAGGTTGAGTGAAGAAATCAAACGACCCATAAAAGTCGGTCATGTAGTCATCCTCGAGAACATAGCCAGCTATGCTCAATTGGAAAAAGGCCGCAGCCGAAGTGAGTGTGGAGAAACGCATCGTCAAGATGGCAGGAGAAAATGAATCAAGTAAAGAATGACTGCGTACTAGACGCGTGAAGAGAAACAGACGCAAGAAGTGAATGCACGGGAGTACGGGACGGCAACCAGACGGTCGGAGAGATGCGACCTGCCCACCTATATACGGGCGCCAAATACCGATACCCTAATCACAAAAGCCACGCATTTGGCCATAAGCAGCCTCGCGGACAGACTCGATGGGCCCGGGGGAGCGTACATCTCCCGTTAGGCCACATGAGCTTGGTTTCAACGGTGGGAGATTTGCAGGTGGATCGAGCATCTCCCCCGGTTAGGCACAGTAAGGGGAGCTGCAGGAACCAGTCAGGTGCCCGGGGTGGAGGACTGGTAGCGCTGAGGCAGGCTGGTCCGATGTTTAACCAAACGTGCGCTGTTTCATGCGAAATGGACGGATGGGCTGTTGGCAAGCGAGTGGTGGCGCTTGAAACAGGTGGACGCGGTACCCCTGTGGATAGAGAGCATTGTTATCGATTGCCTGAGGCATCTCCGAAGTTGGCTGGCCATGATTCGCTGGTGTTGACCTGAAACGCGGAGTGATTGAATATAGAATACACAAGAGGAGCCGCGAGCCAGTGGCGGGCGCTCGCGCTAGCGCTTTCGAAGCGAACAAACATGTTCTGCCCCCCCTGAAACCAATCACCTCATCACAAGGGCTACGTAGGCAGGCGACGTGTAAAGTAAGTACTCGGCTATCTTGCGGTTTTTCTTCTTTCTGTAATTCGCGCTCTGGGCGGGGTATGTGTGTGTAATTAACTTTTTTCTATTTCTTACATGACTCGTCTTCTATTAAGATCGCAGGTCTACTCCAGCGATTCGACAACAATGGCAGAAGCACCTCCACCTCCATTGCAAATGCCAGCGCATCCAATCTTGCCCTTCTTTTGCCTTAGCACACCAAGCAGTGTGGTTGTGATCCTGGCACCTGAAGCACCTAGCGCGTGGCCGATCGCAACAGCACCACCGTGCAGGTTGACCTTGTCCTCTTGAATACCGAGGATCTTCATGTTGGCGAGGGCAACAACACTGAAGGCCTCGTTGATCTCGAAAGCATCAACGGCAGACAGCTCCACGCCGGCGTGCTTCAGCGCCTTTGGCATGGCAAGAGCGGGGGCCGTGGTGAACTTGGAGGGGTTCTGCTCAGCATCACCCCAGCCAAGGATCTTAGCAATGGGCTTGAGGCCGTGCTTCTTGACAGCCTCCTCGGAAGCAAGGACGAGGGCCGCGGCACCGTCAGAGAGCGGTGAGGCGTTGGCAGCAGTGACTGTGCCGTCCTTAGGCTTGAATACAGGCCTCAGTGTGCGGGTCTTGGACTCGTTGAACTAGGCAAGGGTGAGCAAGTGGTGTTTTACAGATTACTAAACACCATAGGAGTGCCATAATTACTTACGTTCTTGGGTTCGTCATCGGCATCAACAACAACTGGGGGCTTGCCACGTCCTTGGGGGACCTCAACTGGAGCAATCTCCTCCTTGAAATAGCCAGCCTCCTGGGCGGCAATGGCCTTTTGATATGAACGGATGCAGTATGCGTCCTGATCCTCACGAGTAAAGCCGTGGTCACTGGCACACTCCTCACCCTGAAGTCCCATGTGCTCCTTCTTGTAGGCATCGGTCAGACCGTCCTTGATAAGACCGTCAATCAATGACTGGTCTCCGAACTTAGCGCCGTTGCGCATGTTGGGGAGGTAGTGGGGTGTGTTGGACATGCTCTCGGCTCCGGCAGCAACGACGATTTCGGCATTGCCAGTCATAATGGTCTGAGCACCAACAATGATGGCTTTGATGGACGAGGCGCACACCTTGTTGACGGTGGTGGCTATGGTCGACTCGGGGAGGCCAGCACCAATGGCACACTGGCGGGCAGGATTCTGGCCGAGGCTGGGAACCACAAGTCAGTAATTGATCTGATGGAGAATACATGAATTGGGTTGTTAGCATGCTTACTTTGCGGAGAGGACATTGCCAACAAAGACTTCCTCAACGTCGGTGGGTTTAATGCCGGCACGTTCAACGGCAGCTGCGCGGAAATGTCAGGGTAAACACTGAGGTATCTAACAAGGAGAACATACACTTGATGGCGTGAGAGCCAAGCTGGACGGCACTCAGGCTTGAGAGGGAGCTGTTCTCTGTGTGAGCTGGCTATGGCCCCTCCTTTGCACATGGTGGCACAACATACCCCAAGAACATGCCCGTGGGCGTGCGGGCAGCCGAGACAATGTAGACTGGAGGGAGAGACGACATTTTGGGGTATCTTGCAGAAACTGGAAAATAGAGAGAAAGATGGACGAGGGCTGAAAGAGGATCAGACGACTGGATTGCCTCTGTACTCACTTATATATCCGGTAGCAAAGTTGAACCTTTTCCAGATTAGTTTCTTGCGACAGCGGCGAGGCGACCAGGGCAACCTGCTTGTGTTCGGGCAGTTTTGGTCCCTGCAGCGCGCTTTCTCCCCTATTGGCTGCCGCCCTCACCGCCTACGCTAACCCGCCGTACGCGGAAGTTACCTTTTCGCGACATTCCCGACTTTTACGATAGCTTCGACCTGTTCGACGCGCACTATCCCCGCAGCCGCCATGGACGACCTTTACGACGAGTTCGGAAACTTTATTGGCGAGGCTGAGTCCGACGAAGATGTCCAGAGCGTTGGCGATGCAGCCGACGCCTATGTCGTCGACGATGAAGACGAGGCGGAGCCTAATAACCAGCAGTTGATGGAGGTCGACGATGGACCATCCAATGCCGTTGTCCTGCACGAGGACAAGCAATACTACCCTTCCGCTTCGGACGTATACGGCCCCGATGTCGAGGTGCTGGTGCAAGAGGAAGACACACAGTCGCTGGCCCAGCCCATTGTCGCGCCAGTCGTGCAGAAGAAGTTCTCGATTGAAGAGGCCGACTTGCCACCAGTCTACCATTCCAGAGAGCTACTGACTGATCTGATGAACTTCCCAGATCAGATTCGGAACATTGCCATTGCTGGACACTTACACCATGGAAAGACTGCGTTTATGGACATGCTGGTCATGGAGACGCACGACATCCAGGACCGCCTCGACTACAAGAGGGGAAAGAAGCGCGAGGAGCAGCTACGCTACACCGACGTACACGTGCTCGAACGCGAGCGCGGCCTCTCAATCAAGGCGGCGCCAATGAGCCTGGTGCTCCAGAACACAAAGTCGAAGTCGCACCTTTTCAATATACTCGACACCCCCGGTCACGTAAACTTTGCCGACGAAGTCGCCGCCTCATTGCGCCTGGTAGACGGAGTGGTTTTGGTGGTGGACGTTGTTGAGGGTGTACAGGTCAACACGGAGCAGGTCATCAAACATGCGGTCCTCGAGGACTTGCCTCTCACGCTGGTCATCAACAAGATGGATCGCCTGATTCTGGAGCTGAAGCTACCGCCGAGCGACGCATACTTTAAGATTAAACACGTCATCGAGGAGGTCAACACTGTCATCGAGAACACCATCCCTGGTCGTGGTGAGAGCAGGCGTGTAAGCCCTGAAAAAGGCAACGTCGCTTTCGCCTGCTCCAGCATGAGATGGTGTTTCACCATTCAGTCGTTTGCCAAGATGTACTCCGACTTCTATCCTGGTCCCTCAAAGCTTCCAGGATTTGGCGTTCCCATGAAGGGACTGGACATTGAGAAGTTTTCCATGCGACTTTGGGGCGATATTTTCTACAACCCAGGAAGCCGCAAGTTCAGTCGCAAGCGGCAAGAGGAGGGATCGCAACGGTCTTTTGTCCACTGGATCCTAGAGCCCGTCTACAAGATTTACTCGCATACGCTCAGCCAGAGTCCGGATGATCTCAAGGAAACACTAGAAACTCTGGGCATACGGCTCAAGCCATCCGAATATAAAGCGGACGCGAAGGAGCTAATGCGACTCGTATGCCAACAGTACTTTGGTCCTTCCCTGGGTTTTGTAGACATGATCACGCAGCACGTTCCATCGCCAGAGGAAGGTGCACAACGACTTCTGCAAAAACACTACACTGGACCTTTGGACACAAAAACGGCCGAAGCGATGCAAAAGTGCGACCAGAACGGCCCTCTTGTCATACACGTCACAAAGCTCTTCAACGCGACCGACGCAAAATCATTCACTGCACTGGGTCGAGTGCTGAGTGGTACCGCAACTTCTCCGCAGTCAGTGCGTGTACTCGGCGAAGGCTATACAATTGAGGATGAGGAAGACATGGTTGTTGCAACAGTGACAGATACATGGATAGCTCAATCGAGGTACAACATCCCAGTCAGCGGCGTGCCAGCAGGCAACTGGGTATTACTTGGCGGTGTCGACAACTCAATAGTCAAGACGGCAACAATCGTAGCGACCAAGCTACCGGAAGAGGAGGACGCTTATATCTTCAAGCCTATCAAGCACTTCTTTGAATCCGTTTTCAAGGTCGCCGTCGAACCAATCAACCCCTCTGAGCTCCCAAAGATGCTTGACGGTCTCCGCAAAATTAACAAGTCATATCCGCTCATCACCACAAAGGTCGAGGAATCAGGAGAGCATGTGGTTCTCGGTACTGGCGAGCTTTACATGGACTGTGTATTGCACGATCTCCGACGACTGTATGCTGACATGGAGATCAAGGTCTCTGATCCAGTCACCCGGTTCTGCGAGACCGTCGTTGAGATGTCTTCGATAAAGTGCTACGCTTCCACCCCGAACAAGAAAAACAAGCTTACCATGATTGCTGAGCCGCTAGACCCAGGAATCGCTGAAGATATCGAGGCGGGCAAAGTCAACATCAAAGATCCTGTCCGTGTAGTTAGCAAGTTTTTTGAGCAAAACTACGGGTACGATCTGCTCGCAGCCCGCAATATCTGGGCTTTCGGACCAGATGACATGGGTCCCAACATCCTACAAAATGACACACTCCCTACAGAGGTCGACGGCAAGATTCTTCGAAGCGTGCGAGACACCCTTCGACAGGGTTTCAGCTGGGCCACGCGCGAGGGCCCGCTCTGCGAAGAACCTATCCGAAACACGAAGTTCCGTCTTACCGATGTTGAGCTTGCATCGGAAGCTATTTTCCGCGGTGGTGGTCAGATCATTCCTACGAGTCGACGAGCATGCTACTCATCTTTCCTCATGGCGAGTCCCAGACTGATGGAGCCGGTATACTCGTGCAGTATGATTGGTCCATCCGACACAAAGAGTAGTCTTTACACAGTTCTTGCACGGAGAAGAGGGCACGTTCTACAAGATGGACCCATTGCAGGTACTCCACTTTACAATGTGCGCGGTCTAATCCCGGTCATCGACTCTTTCGGTTTCGAGACCGATTTGAGGGTACGTATACAATCCGCTCTAAGGTAAATATCTACTAACCCTAATCAGATCCACACACAAGGCCAAGTCTCTCTCTCCCTTGTCTTTGATCGCTGGTCCATTGTCCCTGGTGACCCTCTCGACACAAGCATCTCAACCCGCCCCCTCGAACCCGCAACCGCACAACAACTAGCACGCGACTTTGTGCTCAAGACCCGACGAAGAAAGGGTCTGGCTGAAGATGTTACTGTCAAAAAGTTTTTGGAGCCCGAGCTATGCCGTAGTTTGATTGAAAGCGGCGTGCTGGATGGATAGGAGATGTATGTTTGTAATACCATGCAATGGAGTAATGGCGTCAACGCACGATTTTGAATGAACGAAGGAAGTAATTCAAAAGCATCATGAGTAGGAAATCCCAGACCAGGGATCATCTAGTAGGATTGGCAATAAAATATACCCGTCGCCGTATCCATTCCGCACTCTTATCTTTACACTGTGTGACGGTATCCAAAAACGGACTTTGTAAGCAAAGAAACACGGGATATAGACTCAATTTATTGCAGCGAGAACCCAGACGTACAACTGTTTTTTTTTTAAAAAAAAAAGGTATAGATATTCGGGTATCAAACACAAGCCATATCCACGAACAAGTCTCACAAAAACCCACACTTTACCAATACATAAAGTCGCATAAGAAATACAAACCCATACACCCAACCCATCCACTTCCAGCGGTCCAAAAAGAAGAAAAAATCGTTAACCTGCCATCATCCCTCCCGACCCACCTAATACTCATCTTCCTTCTCACTCTCCTCAGCAATAACCTCATCTTCAATCTCCTCATGAACCAGCACACCCATTTCATACGTCTCCTCCCTAACCGCCTCCGCCTCTTCCCAGCCAACGCTACAGTCCTCCATGATGAGCAAAACCGCCGCCTCAGGCACCATAACTTGCTGTACGAAAGCCGCCACACCGGAGGCCTGCACGACGGCATCACCGCAGCCCTTGATATCTTCTTTGAGGAGGTCGAGGATGTTTTCGGTGATGAGGCGTCGGCCGTGGGGACCGTAGTAGCCCGGGTATGCAGCGCGATCGTCTAGGGCGTAAGCTTCGAGTTCAGCCTGTTGCGATGGCGATAGATCTGTGCGTTTAGATGGGATAGACGCTGCTTTTCCCGTTAGAGCCACAGGTTCGTATCGTGATCTGTGGGGGCTGGGGCGTTCGTTTAGTAAGATTTGGCGGAGAGTGGGTTTGTGGTATTTGAGGCGGCGGGGGAGGAGGCTCCAGTTTATCGAGGGGTAACCGGCGGAGGTGTAGGATTGCTGTGCGGAAAGCTTTTTGTGAAGGTGGCAGAATGCGGATTTGTGTTTTACGGTTTTGGGCTTGGAGGTCCAGAAGGACCAGTAGTCGGAAGGGGAGACGGGGTGGCTGCAGAGGGGGCAGCGGGTGCCTTCTTCTTCGATTTCGGGCAGGTGTTCGATGTAGTTGCTTACTTCGTTGAGGTGCTCTTGGGCGGCGCTTGAGTCGGGTTGTGAGGAGGGGGGGTCGTTGTTTGCTTTCCAGGAGTTGAGTTGTTTTAGTAGCTGGGCTGATTTTGCGGCTTTCTTGGACTTTTCGGACATGGGTTGTTCTGATATTGAGTCGAGTACTTCGGATAACTTGTCGTCATCATAAGGGACAGCTCCGGCGTCCTCGTCTTTGGCCTTCTTAGATGTTGCTTTACTATTCACTCTCCGTAAATCGTCGTCATCGGATAGATTAGGTTCACCCAGTTCCTCCGCAAGGTCTTGCAGCTCATCGTCATCCAACATGGAGACACTCGAGTCGCTATCAGAATCTTGGCTCGGTTGCTTGCCTTTTGATTGATTCGCTGATCCATATATTCGCACAGCAGGCTTAGGCGGACTCCTCCCAAATTTCTTTGGTACTGGCTCGTGTGTATTTTTTGTTTTTGAACCATATCCTTTTGCGTTCTTGTTATTCTTCTGAGAAACATGCTCCATACCCCACTGAATTGGCCCGTCGCTCACTGATGCTTGAGAAGATGCAAGAGCATTCTCTTTATCCTTAGTTGGTCCATCTCCTGCTTGGAGTTCCTGACTGTTTTTGTATGTACCCCTTGTTGGCGCTCGTATTGATACACTCTTCTTCGCAGGCTTCTTTTGTGGTCTCTTCAATTCTGTATCCACATTGCGAGGTGCTGGCATAGTAGGTTTCGAGGACTTGGCTGGTCGTGGTGGGGGAGCACGTAATTCATCGTCAGAGGACAGTGGATCGGCATTGATGTCGATCTCTTCCTGTTGCTTTGCAGGAATTGTCATGTTGTCTGCTCGTCTCTTTCCTGCCGGCTCTTCGTGATCATCCTCGGTCGCATGGCGCTTCCCATTTACAGAGCGGAGCAGTGGACGAACATTCTTCCTAGTCAGACCCGCCATTGTCGCATGGGATACTGCGACCGAAGTATCCTAGAATCAGACGGTACAAGTAAGATCTGACACTGAGTGAATCGATTCAGAACCGATTATGCGCTCATGCGGAGACATGCGGACGATTCGTCCAACGCGAGACGCGCAGAGACCGCGTCTGCGCTAGTCTTATCTTATCGTCAAGCTCCGCCAAAAAAAGTTCCAGTCGCATAGCAGCGCATCGCATCTTCAATTCCACACTCCGCATACCTCTATCCCACAGCACGACCACCCGTCATGGCCCTAGACGATTCCCTTCAGCAACCGATCAATTTCACTGGCCATCGCCACCTGATTTCCCGCCTCCTGCTTGCAACCCTCACCGGCCGACCCGTTCGCATATCGCAAATCCGCTCTTCGTCGACCAACCCCGGCTTAACTCGCCATGAAACAAATTTCATTCGGCTCCTCGATTCAGTAACAAATGGCTCGCAAATACAATTTAGCATGACGGGCACAACGCTCGTCTACCGCCCAGGACTCATCACAGGCTCAGCCGAAGGCCTTGGCGCAAGCGGAGGTGTAATCCGCCATGAAATACCTGCAGAATGCAGAAAGCGAGGAGTAAGCTGGTGGCTTATTCCTCTATGCATCCTTTCGCCATTCAGCAAGGGCAACATGAACGTCATTTTCCACGGCGAAGGCTGCGTCACCTCCTCTACAGTCACCGGCGACGTTTCCGCAGACACCGTCCGCACCGCTATACTTCCCCTCTACAAAAATTTCGCCATCGAACGAAACATCGAACTGCGCATCCTCAAGCGCTCATGCGCCCCCGCAGGCGGCAAAGGCGCAGGCGGCGAAGTCCAACTCGTATTCAACCACCAAGTCCGCCTCCCCAAGACCCTGCACCTCTTGAATCCCGGCCGCGTCAAGAAAATCCGCGGCGTAGCATACTGCGTCGAAGTCCCCAAGACAAACAATGAACGCATGACCTTCACCGCAAGAGGCATCCTGAATAAATTCGTACCAGACACGTACATCTTCTCAGACGCAAGTCCCGCTCCTTTAATCCCGACCAACGCAAAAGGTCACGCCTCAGGCAAAGTAAAAGGTGCCGTTGGCTTCGGTATCAGTCTCGTCGCAGAAAGCAGTACAGGCTGCATATACTCGGCCGACGTGTGCTCCCCGCCTGACGGTGGTGTCCCTGCAGACGAAATAGGCAAGCAGTGCGCGTACCAGCTGCTCGAGAAGATTGCACAGGGAGGCTGTGTGGAAAACGTAGCCGCGCCTACGGTCCTCATGCTCATGGCTATGGGTAGCGAGGACGTCGGTAGAGTGGCGCTAGGCAAGGAGGTACTAGCCAGCGAAGAAATCATCCAGTTAGCAAGGGACGCGAAGATGTTTGGCGGTAGCGCATGGGGCTTCAGGGAAGCAGGTGGTGAGAGGGAAGAAATTGTTGTCAGTGTAGTAGGAAAAGGCGTGGGTAATGTGGGAAGAAAAGTGGCGTAAACATTTTTGTCTATCTGGGACGAAGCCAAAAACAAAACAGAGGTTCTATCCGTATACAAAAATAATGATACCCCCCCCCCCCCCGACATACTCTCTCACGTTTCAATAATCTCCAAGATTTGTTCATTCACAAATCCACGTTTACTTCATGTTGAAGAAGAAAGCCAACCAATTCCTTTTCATATTCTATTCCGATTATAAAAAGTGCCAAGCGCGAGAAAATGTTTTGCAAACGCCGCCCAAATGGAAGTCTGCCCGAGTTCCAACGGGGAGAAAACGAGAATGGCAGAACAAGGAAAAAACGCCTGTCGTACGTAGGACACGTAGATGCGAGCTTGAACTTTCAAGACAACAAGACCGAGAGAGATAGGGAAAGAGGAATGGGTCGTCTACTTCCTCCCTACGGAGCTCCCTCCACTTCCGCTTCCCTCTTCCTCCTCACTTTCCTCATCACGCGCATATTTCTCGTTGAAACGTTCCTGATCCCTATACGGGCCCTCGTTGCCATCATCATCATCACTCAGGAGATCCTCATCGGACTCGCCCGCAAAAGCATCGTAAAGCTCACCACCCCTCTTCGCACGCTTCTTCCTCGCACCGGCTCCAGCACCAGAAAGCAAGCCTGCATCGTCCCTGTCCTCGTCGCCGTCCAGAACCTCGAATTCGTACGCGTCGCGCGAATCCTTGATGCGCTTGCGACGGGCAATGAAGAGGTAGGTGCAAAGACCTGCGATGAAGACGAGGATGAGGCCGAGGGCACCATAGATCCAGATTTGGGTGTGTTTGGAGACGCCAAAGGTTGGGAAGGGGCTGGGGAGGAAGTTTTCGCTACCTTCGGCGGTAGACTCCGTTGCGGTTGCGGTGGGCGCAGTGGCAACAGAAGTCTGGGAACTACTGTCAGCCGACGTTGGGGTGGGTTTCTGGTTGACGGGGCGGTCAGGATGGTCAGCAGGGAGGGAGGTGATGGTTGGCTCAGCACTAGAGGGGACAGCGACGCTGGTGACGTGCGCGGGATGATCGTCAATCTTGTCGTGGTCATCGTCCTCGTGCTCGTCGGGCATTGGATGGGGCTTGGCTTTGGATGCGTCAATGCATTCGCCCCAGAGACGGAGTTTCCAGTCGGTGAAAACGCCAGTCTTGCCGTTGCCTGCCTTTACATCTTTGATAATAACGGTCCAGTTGCCAATGGCGCTTTCGCCCCAATGGGCGACTGACATAAAGGTCCAGTCAATGTAACCATAGGGCGCATCATCCGAGCGGCGAGCAGTTGAGAGATGCGAGACCATGCCAGCAGGCGATCGCAGCTCAACACTGAGGTCTCCACGACGCTGGTGCTCTACGTTCATGGTCAAGGTAATGTGCTCCACACGCTCAAAGTTTGCGTTCTTGAGCATGTCTGGTGTGACTTCGAATGCACTAGCTAGACCCTTATCGCCCTCTGGAATTGGCTTTCGGACATGCATCCAGGGCGAGTAGAACCAGGCTTGAGGCTTGACGAGCTCCCAGGTCTTGGCCTTTTCAACAATTGCGTAAGCGTCGAGCTTTCCATAACCAAATTGGTGGCTATACATGCGGCCAGAAGGCGTCTTGACCCAGTCGCCAGGGGTAGTGAGAGTGACAGCGGTCATGACTGTGAGCCATTGGACATCGCGCCATGTCAATTCAGGGCGAGCTTGGAGCACCAGGGCGTACACTCCCACACCAATTGGTCCAGCAGCAGATGTGCCTCCGTGTGAGCTGGTGCACTTGTTCAAGCCCACGTCGGTGGTGTGAATGGCATCGCCGCCACCGCTGCTGTACGTTACAACAAGCTGGGCAGAACATGCCTCAGAGTAGTATGGGTGGTCGTTGTTCTGATCAATGGCGCCGACAGTGATGCTGTAGATGCTATTGGTGTAACCGTCGAAATTGCAGTTGTCGCCGCTGGCAGCGCCGTTGCCGGCCGCAAAGACGTAAATATTGCCCTTGCCGCCACGGCCGTTTTGGACAGCGTTCACCATAGCCTTCTCAATAAGAATTCCTGGTGCCTGCATAGTTTTGCCATCATCAGGGGGACCCCATGAGCACGAGTAAATGTCATTTTTCTGCATCTCAAAGTTTATAGCAAGAGCTTCGTCAACGTCTGTAATGTCGCCCGAGAGGATGCGCACGCCAGAAACCTTGGCTTCGTAGGCGAGTCCAAGTCCACAGGCATCGTTCTTTCCCGCAGCAATTTCTCCAGCACATCGTGTTCCGTGGCGGTCGTCAGAAAGCTTTGGAGTGGGTAGGTCTTCGTGATCATTATAGTCGTGAGAGCCCTCGGCGAAAAAGTTGTCCTTCAAGTCGTTGCTGGTGTAATCCAGACCATCGTCCACAACGCATGCAGTGACGCCTTTGCCAGTGATGCCCTGCAGCCACACACCGGTGACGTTGATATCGTTGCCCTGCGCCTTGACGTTGAAAATGTGCCACTGCTCCTCGAAAATGGGATCTTTGATTTGTAGCTGCTCTGCGACCTTGCGCTGAGCTGTGATGGCTTCCGTGACCGGGACGGCTCGATCTGGCAGTGGAGGTATTACACTGCGCTTCCAGTGACGGGGCTTGAGCTTTTGCTTCTGCGCGAAGCGGATACTGTCAAGGGGGTGGTACTCGGAGCCGACTTGACGCTTCCGCCGACGCCTCTTGAGCTCTTGCCGTGCATCGTCTACAATGTCGTTGTCATGTTTCGGGGCTTTAAAAATGTGGTGGTGGTCGAGCGAGTCGAAGGGGCCGTCGTAGGTCAAGCCCAGGTGGGCGGCGACTTCTGAGGGGGACTCGGACGGGGAGATGTGGATGGCATAGTAGTCATGGGTCGTGTAGTTGCGGGGTGGGAGGCGATTTCCTGCTGCAGCGAGCGTCGCCACCGACAGCAGGCCCCAAAAGTGAATGCGCATGGCGAAGGCGCCGAAAGGAAAGGAGGCTATGAGCAACCGGGTACGGTCATGTAGTAGCTGAGGCGCGTTGCACAGGGCTGACCAGGTACAGACGACTGTCTATGTGCGGGGCGGGGGAAATTTAAGAGTTGAGGGGCGAGGGCTCAGGGATGAGGATACTGTGGTCGTCGGGTCAGAGTAGGGATGGATAGATGGCTAATTATTCGGCTTATGGAGAAGCCAGATTGCGCCGGCTAACCTGAGGGATGCGGAATACCAGAAGCAGGGATAGGTCAGGCCAACCGTGCCAGCGGGTGTATGAACTCAAAGAAAATGCAACCGGGGGATGGATGCGGGAGAAGACGCGGAGAGTCAAGTAATTGAAGAAGACAATGAGGTCTCTCGGCGGCGCTATGTGGTTTGGAGTGGGAACGTGGCTGAAGGGCGCTGGTGAAACAAGCATTTGTGAGAGCGTGTACTCTCTACTCTCTGCCCTCGCGCCACACACGCCACACACGCCTTACCTGTTTGGGCTACCCGCATCCACGCTTATGCTTACATGTGCAGAAGCTGATACTAATAGGGCCAGCCCACTTAGGCGCCGAGCCTATTCGACTTACTGTGTACTAGTGCTGCTAGCAGGCCTGCCATGCCATCCATGTCTGCTGCTCTGCTGTGCCGCCCGCCGGTGGGTGTGGGTGTGGGTGCATGTGCATGGCATGGCATGGGTCGAGGCGGGCGGGCGGGCGGCCGTGGCAGACGCTGTCTCCAGCCATCTCTCTTTCACGCCCTCCCGCCACCCATTTCCACCATGCGCTGACCATGGATATCAGTCTCTTCCCTGCTGCCCTACCGCTCCTCCTCTTCCCTTGTATATAGCATCTTCCTGTAGTGTGGCTCCCCCGTCGTCATTGCGCTTCATTTAGACCAGAGTTTTTTTTGCGCTGTCAGTCTGCCAGCGCCGAGGCCGCACCGCCACACTTGTTCTTCGTACTACACCTACAGTAGGTAGCTACCACAAATGTTACCACTCGAGCCGCTTCTCTAAGGGTCCATGTGACAGTGCTCCCTGTGCACAGAGTCTGCATCACAGCCTGAGATCTGTCCCTTCTTACACCCAGTGTTGGTGGTGGCCCCCACTCGCTTCAACATTGCCCGCCTCATGAGCCCGTCGCAACATGGAAGAAAAGCGGAACAGCGGCTCCTACGCCGAGCGAGCTGTTAATATTAATATTGCTCTCCGCAAGACGCCGGACAGCTCTGCCCCAAAGCGCGCAACGTCATACCGTCGCCCAGCCGATGCCCAACCAGCTGGCGCATCTCCACCCGAGACCGCCATGTCCACCGCCATGCCCAGTAACACTGCCCGCCCAGTCGTAGCTTCCTCCTCAGATCCTGTCACTCAGAGACGGCGGAACAGCAAGATCATCCTTCCTCCCACCACCGGCGCAATGGGCGAGTCCATACCGGCTGCGCCAGACGTACCGCGCGCACCGCCCTCGTCATACAGAGACCCATACTCAAGAGGCGTCAGGGTCCCGGCACGCACAAGCTCTGGACGGGCACGCGATCCAGCTATCCAATTGAACCCGAGTAGACAGCAGGCGACCATCCAAACAGCCGCAGATAGACTCTACAACCTACGGTCACCACCATATGCTCCCGTCGAGCCACTGGCAGGAGCTGTGGGGCGGCGAGGCTCTCAGCGTGGTCCTTCTGTGCCAGATCGGTCACCGCTCCAAAAGCTGGAAGGCAAGCTGGATGACATCAGCAAAGAAGAGAGGAGAGCGAGGATACTGGAAGCCGAGTTGGCAGCGCAAGAGAAGGCTGAGGCCGAGGCACGGGAAAGGCGGGCACGAGAAGCCGCTCAGAACCAGCAGCGCGTCGTATCTCAGCCCGTGGCAACACCAGACAACACCTCTGGTGCGCCCAACCGAGCAGGCAGTAGCAAGCGTCATGTTTCGATGCCAACAGAGAAGAACCATGCGTCTCCCCAAATAACCCAGTGGGAATCGGACAATGGCTTCATTTACGACCTTAACGAGCCCTGGGATCCTTCTCCACCCGAGGGCGGAGCAGTCCAACCCGCTCAACAGGCCACCAGACACAAGGGTCAAGCTGTTCCGCGAACCACCAGTCTGAAAGGCAAGGAGCCGGTTAGGGGCTCACCGCACAGTGGCAGTTATAGCGATCGGAGCTCACTTCCTTCGCAGAAAGACCACAAGCCTGCATCTGATGCTGCAGGACTTGGCCTAGTCGGTGTAGACGATACGTCTGCTGGGGCTGAAGTAACTCGTGCCGAGAGCAAGAGAGTCCAAGGGAAGAGAGACAGCCGGGGAGGCATCATGGCCGCGCAAATGGACATACCGCAAGAGTCTGTTGACCATAAGGCGGCGCCTCGCGTAATCGATATCCCACCAACCAAGCCTCGCATGCCACCCGTACCCAAGACTACCCCGGTTATGCCCCCAGTACCCCAGACCAACCGAAAAAGTGTCGTTTTCTCCGAGTCCGAGTCTGAGCTGGATTTTCATGATCCCGAGAAGAAATCTCGCCATCGTTTCAGCCGCCATGGCGAGCCGGAAAGGACATACACGCCCAAGGCAGTGCTCGATGAATGGAAAAATGCCCCGGTTGGCGCCCTTGTTTCTGAAGATCTGGACCTGAACGCTCCAGTCACGGCTAACAGCGGCAACAAAGCATGGTGGGAAGAAACCAAAATGGCCCGGCGGAGACGCTCTAACAGCTATGCGGAACCCATGTACGATGGCTATGCTGATGACACACATTTGCCAACCAGCTTTAACCCGCCACTGTATCTCAAGTGCGGACCGCTCCTGCGCTACACGGGTCTTCGCAAAGATCGGAGCAAGCCAGGTCAAGAGCGGGAGATATGGCGAGGCAGTGTCATGATTGTGACTGTTGACGCGTCCTCGTCCTACTCCAAGCCACCGACGTTACGACTGTTCAAACAGCCAATGGATATCCTGCCTCCACCACCAGAAGAGGTAGATCATGACCAGCTTGATCCATCATATATCGATCCTATCGAAGGCCAGACCAAAGTTTCGCGCACCGGCAAGACGCTGTTCGTCAGGCCTATTGATGAGATCGTCGAAGACGTGGACCTATCGCGCGTCGAAAACAGCACCGGGTTATTCTCCAAGACTCGGAGCACTGCCAACGGACCGCCTAGGTCCACTCGCATCCATAAGAGAGACGGCGAGAAGTTAGGCAAAGTACGTGACTTCCCCGGTATTCGTCTGCACGCTGAGCGGGGTGTGACTTTTTGGCGCTTCAACATTGAAGTTGAACTCGGGGCTAGCCAAACACGTATCGCCTACAAGATCAACCAGGGTCCGGCTATTGGGTTCTGGGTCCCTGCTAAAGGGGAATCCATGAACATCATGTTCCACAGCTGCAACGGTTTTTCTGCTAGTGTCGACCCCGATGAGTTCTGTGGCCCAGATCCCATGTGGCGCGACGTCCTCAATACCCATCAGACCCGCCCATTTCACGTAATGATTGGTGGGGGCGATCAAATCTACAACGATGCTGCTATGAGGGAGACAACCTTGTTCAGACAATGGACCGAAAACAGAAATCCTCTACACAAGCACCATCAACCATTTTCCGAGGAGATGCAGAATGAGCTTGAGCAGTTTTACCTAGATCGGTACGCGATGTGGTTTTCCCAGGGTATGTTCGGCTTGGCCAATTCACAGATTCCTATGATCAACATTTGGGATGATCATGATATTATCGACGTAAGTTTGATTCTGCGATAATATTTGAATGTTGTCTAAATTACTTAGGGCTTTGGATCGTATCCCCACCACTTCATGCAAACTCCAGTTTTCACAGGAGTCGGTGCCGTTGCGTTCAAGTACTACATGCTCTTCCAGCACCAATCCGTACCCGCAGAGACAGAAGCGACAGAGCCTTCATGGGTGCTTGGTAAGAGCCCCGGTCCTTACATTAAAGAGCGATCTAGAAGCGTCTTCATGCGACTCGGTCGGCCTGTGGCCTTTCTTGGTCTTGACTGCCGTACAGAGAGGCAGCGAGACGAGATACTTACTGAGGACTCATATGACATCATCTTTGACCGTCTTGAGGATGAGATTATCAAGGGCGAGACTAAACACTTGATCGTACTCCTTGGCGTGCCCATTGCCTACCCTCGATTGAACTTCCTCGAGAATATCTTGACTAGTAGGATCATGGATCCCATCAAGGCTCTTGGCCGCACTGGCATGCTGGGTAACTTTGTGAACAAGTTTGACGGCGGCGTGGAGATTCTAGATGACTTGGATGATCACTGGACTGCGAAGCACCACAAGGAGGAACGCAACTGGTTCATTCGTGAGCTGCAACACATTGCCTCCACCAAATCTGTGCGTGTCACAATTCTTGGGGGTGATGTCCATTTGGCAGCGGTTGGTCAATTCTACAGCAACAAAAAGCTCAACATACCAAAAGACAAGGATCACAGGTACATGCCAAACGTCATTTCCTCCGCCATAGTCAACACGCCACCTCCCGATATGATGGCGGATATCATCAACAAACGAAACAAGATACACCATCTTGACTCGGACACGGATGAAGACATGATAGCGCTATTCACCCACGGTGTGGACGGAAAAAAGAGAAATAACAATCATCTCCTCCCCCACCGAAACTGGTGCAGCATTCGAGAATACAAGCCCGGATCTACACCATCACAGACACCATCACCACCTACGACCCCAGATGGTCCTGGCGCGGGAAGATCCTTTGCTGATTTTGCACCTGGTCAGCTGGTGAGAAGGCTCAGTGGACAACAACCAAGACCTTCTGCACGGCGCCAGGGCCCTCCTGTATCATATCGCAATAACCCGGCTTATGCGGCTGCTGATGACCAGCAGGTGGGCCACCATCAGCTGAAATCCTCGTTCTCACCCGATCGCTCAGAGCCGGAGAGGCCTGCTCATCCTCGTCGCAATTCCTTATCCTCGCTATTCCGTCGTCGACCTTCAATG